TTGATTGGTTACTATATCATAAATATAACTCTCTATTTCTATTAATCTTCTTTTACAACATATCAAAATTTACAGACAAATTTCACAGTTTAATAGAATATATTAATATATTTTTATAAAATCTAATTTATAACATATTTAATAATTAAAATTTTTTATTTTTCTCACAATAGTAAAAGTTAAATCATTTAATGTCAATTAGGCATGTCGTCTCTTTCAATTCTCTCGTTGAAACATGTATTATGAACACTAATGCCTAAAAATATAAGACTAAATTATATGTTTGATCCCTAATGTTTCGGTTTCATTCTTTGCATTGTTGGCCCACATATGGCTAACATTGCGTATTTAATCCTTTTTCAAACTAAATTATCATGTTTGGTCCTAACCCCTAACAAATTGACACTTAATCTCCCTCATGTCTCTATACACATAATGGTATTTTTTTCATTTCCCCCTTGTATCAAATTTCTTATTTCACCATTCTCTCTCCTAATTATGATTATGGCAGTATACATTTTCTTATTTCCTACCCCTATGCTTAGCAAGAAGCAGACCAAGGTAATAAGCATACATTTGAATAACGAACAACTTGTATTTACCTGCATCTTCACAAAATTTATTCTTAAAGCATGGAAAGAACTTTAAGAACACATTGGTAGCATAAAAAAATGTTAAGTTGTATAATGCATTTCCTTTATACCTTTATAGACCAAACCGACATGGATGATGTTTCTTTGATTAAGATTCTATTAGATGCATTTCTTATGCACAAGATATAGATGATTCGGTAGAAGCTTTAAGTGAGAGAAAGACAAACGTGACCTTTAGAAGTTCAACTTAAAACCAATGTAACTTTTGATCCGTAAGAAATTTGAAGATGTGTGATACATTAACGAAAAGTTCTCGACGGCCGAAAACTCCTAATACGTCGCCTACCCCTCAGTCAATCCCCAAATTTCATTATTTAGACCTCAAAATCATGATTTTCCCGACTTCGGTGCATTTCTATAATTTGCTTGATTAAGTTTTAATGACAAAACGGAATTTATCAAATTTTCATGTTTAGTTTACAATTTAATTTCATGTATCTAATGATATTTTCTCTTTTTCAAATTTGATTGTACTTGGCAAATTTAGCCACCGGGCACCATTCAACCCTTTAGAGGCATTTTGAAATTCAATAAACAAATCCCCTTTTAATATTTTTGTTAATATTGATTCCGTACTGTGTCAATTTTATGCACCATTTGGCATGTTTATTTCATACATTTGCATTGTATTTAAGTCTTATATGCTATGCATTTTTTCATTTTCGAGGTATTTTATATAATTTGGTGGAATCATGATGCTTGCACATTTCATGAATGTTTTGTAAGGTATTTGAAGAATGAATCGTGTTTTGGATCATGTTAGGGAGTTGTGGTTCAAATTTTGGTAAGATCAAACAAAAAACGAAGAGGTTTGAATTTTTGAAGATCAACCTAATCAAAAGATCACTTGATCGAGTGATCCTTCCTTATAGCCTCTACTTGGTCAAGCCACCTGGAAAAATCAAAATTATGTGTTTTGAAGACCCAAAAGCCGAGTGGGATCCCGATGCAAAATCAGCTCTGTCGAATGGGTTGTTAGTTTGTTTTCGGGCCTATAAATGCATCATTACCTTTTTATATATATTTGTAGGTTTGAAGACATTAGGAAATTTTTATTTTTATAAAAGATAATGTTAACAAAAAAATCACATTAATAATATTTTTATAAATATAACTCACTTTAATGATAAATTATATATAAGAGATCAATGCCCAAGTATTATATAAAAAACATAATTTGTTAGTTGTTATCTTATGTTAGGGATATATGAAGTTAGTAACTAAACAGCTATTGTATAGATTTTAAAGATCAAGAGTTAAAAAGGGTATATAGAGACCAATATATACATGCAAAAACAATTTATTATCTTATCAAGTATTATGATGATATTATCCGTAGAAAGAAATGACCATCGTCCATCATTTGGATTTGTATCGTACATCCACTCACTGCTTACGTCATGCAGCACCTGAAGTCCTGAACTTTATCCATTAGCATTTAAAAAGGGTGCTGCTATTAAGACACCCTTTAAACATCCTATAGCATCTTTATCAAAAGTCAACCAATAGGTAACTATTTTTAATTATCTTTTTCAAAAAAACAATGTAATTCTAACCAATAAAAATACTTTAAAAATTATATAGGGTGTCTAAATGGTAAAATAGGGTGTCCATTTAGCCAACCCCTTTAAAAATGATTTGGAAAGAGAAGCCATATTTGTTAGTTGGCATCGAGGGGGCATATTTGACAATTCACTTCCATAAAACCATTGGCTTTTCCAAGTCTCTGGCCTCCTGTTTTTACCTCTAAAGTTGGGAACTTGGGGCTTCTTTCACTCTCTCTCTATCTCTATTTAAAGTACCAGTCTCTCCTTCCCTAATTCATATCTATCAAACATATCTCTAATACTATTCAAACAAGAAAACCCCCCTTTCATTTCAGCATCTTAAAACAGTCGGAAACTTAAAGAAAAGATGAGTTCCACAAGCAGAGTATGGATGGTGGCAGCAACTGTCGGATTGGTGGAGGCACTCAAAGATCAAGGCTTTGCACGATGGAACACCACCATCAGGGCAGTCCACCACCACGCCAAGTCCAATCTCCGATCAATTTCTCAGACCAAGAACTTGTCTTCGCCGGCGGCCATGGCTTCAGGCGGAGGCGTAGAAGAGAGGGCGAAGCAATCAGAGGAGTCGTTGAGAAAAGTCATGTACTTGAGCTGTTGGGGTCCCAACTGATCAAACCCTTCGCAGATGTTATTAATTTTAGGCACCTAGATACCAGATTAATGTACATGTAATTATGCATTGTGTACAACGTTTACAAGGAAGTAAAAATCGATTATGATCAAAAGATTGGTGTATGATATAATGTTATTTACAATTTCACTTGATGAAATCAAGTTTTATAATTTGAGTGAAAGAATTGTAGTTCAGGGTTAAAACCAAATTTTTTTCCACTAGTTATCGTTGAAAAAAAAACTTTATTAGCATCATTAAACGTCGATTAACCTAACCATTGAATATGTGGTTGTGGAGCAATGTGGAAAGGTTGTTTGAGCTAGTAATATGTAATGGCATCTAAAATAACATCAATTTTATGAAAACACAATCTATTTTTATGTCATGATTTAATGTTCTTCCGAAAGATACATTATTAGTTATAAAAAACATTTATTTGACCAAATATTAATGTTAAAAAAAACAAGAATTACTTTAATATTAACTTATGGATTTTAAAATATACATGATACTATCACAAAGAATTCAAGATCTGACACATATGCGTATGAATTGATTTATAATCTTAGGTTTATGTTTCTTGGTTTAGACATTTCATTGAATTGTTCTATTCATAGTTATACTATATACTTCCCATTTCTAATTTCTTCCAATAATTTTATCAGATTAAATCTCACACAATTTACAAGTAGAATAGTTAAAAAGCTAATTATGTTTTTCTTTAAGTACGGTGCACTTACGCATCTTCTTAGAGTTTTACTTATGAAAGCAAACCGAAGAAAAATGAAGGAAATATGTTATCAAGGTTTTTTTTTAAAGAAAATATAAAAAAGTAGGGTTATTGAGTGTTCTTTAAGGATTCTAAGAAAAAGGATGGGAAGAAAAAGATATACATTTCTCTTGGAAGCTATTTGTATTTTGTATCACACTGATATTGGATTGTGTTGTACTGATGTGTGATAGACTATCACTCACTCTTAAAGACGAAAAGTTGATGAGGTAAGACAATGTTGTGCCAGATGCAAACTCTGACACCATATAATATATATATATATATATATATATATATATATATATATATATATATATATATATATATATAACATCACTCCACATCATCATCAATCCATTTTCACAATATATTCAATATTGATCGGAAATTATGTTCACTAGTGAACAAGAGAAAGAAGCCAATGAGAATGCATTCATTTTGGAGCTAACCAATCAAAATTCCGGTAAGCATTTGTGAAGCTAGTTACTCCACACCACAACTACACTCATTGGGGGCGGTGTTCAAGTGTGAACATCCCCTACACATAGATGTTTACGCACATAAACACCCCCAATACCTCCATGGCCTAATACTATCTGCCTAAATATGAGCTAGTTGGGAGGGGATCCGTTCATTTCTATGCTTTTTATTTCCATTTATTTCTCTTTCTCTCTTTCCTTTCGTTTGTGAACTCGAGAACATAGCCTATATATATATATATATATATATATATATATATATATATATATATATATATATATATATAACAACTACCCTATGTTTATTATTGAGTAAATTACATTTTTGGTCCACATGTTATACACTTTTCTCAAGGTTTGGGTGTAGTTTTGAAATTTGACACAATTTATCCTTATGATTAGAAAATCCACCAATTTTAATCATCAAGGCTAAATCAGTTATATTATTTTTACGTCAAGTTCAATAGAAAAAAGACTTTTTCGCTTTTGGACAAAAATTGTTAAAAGCTGCAAACGGTAATATAAATATAGAAAAAAAAACAAAAAAGGCATATAATATAAATATAGAAATAACAAATAAAAAAAAACATTTTAGTCTTTTTCATGCGTATTTAACGGACTTATGCAAACGGTAACAGAGAATAAAAGATAAAACGGGAGACCATAGTTAACGGATTTGTCAAACATAAGAATCATTGTTGTCAATTGTCAAAAACTAAGACCAAACCTAAAAAAACTTATATATACTAGGAGGAGTAAAAGTGTAACTTACTATTTATTATTTGAAAATTGACAACTGTATGCGCTTTAAAAGCATGGTTTTTGCCACCTGTTTTTTACGCCATACAAAGTGGGAGGCTGTTTCACTCTACTGTCTGTGTGCAGTGTGCTTGGCTCTCTATTTATATCCTACTTATGGTTTTTCTGTTCTTCATCAATCACTTGTGCAACAAACATACTTTCGATTCAAACAGAAACCCACTTCGTCTAATTTTTAACCATCTTCAAGATTTAATTATGAGTTTCAGAAGCAGAGCATGGATGGTGGCCGGAACTGTCGGAGTTGTGGAAGCCCTCAAAGATCAAGTCTTTGCACGATGGAACACCACCATCAGGGCAGTCCACCACCACGCCAAGTCCAATCTCCGATCAATTTCTCAGATCAAGAAGTTATCTTCGCCGGCAGCCATGACTTCAGGCGGAAGTTTAGAAGAAAGGGCGCAGCAATCAGATGAATCGTTGAGAAAAGTCATGTATTTGAGCTGTTGGGGTCCCAATTGATCAAACCCCTTGCAACTGTTATTGATTTTAGCCTTTTAGACACCAGCTGAAATGTACATGTAATTATGCATTGTGTACAACATTTATAATGAATTGAAAATCGATTCTGATCAAAGATGGTTTATGTATGAATTATGATATGATGTGATTTGCAATTTCAGTAGAAGAAGTCAAGTTGTGTATATTTTGATCATCACTAAGAGTTGATAAATCTAGCTGCTGATGTAGTTGTGGAGCAATATGGAAACGCTGTTCACTTGTTTGAGCTAGTAAAATCTCATGGCATCAAAAAGAACATCAAATTTATGAAAATGCAACCCATTCTTCTGAAATATACATTATTAGTTACCTAAAAACTACTAATATTTATCATATTTAAGTAGTTATACTATACATTATTAGTTACCTAAAAACCCATATTTAAGTTTGGGATTGCTTATTAAAACTAACTTATATTTATCAGCAAAATAGCTTTTTAGTTTTTGTGATGTCAAAACCGAGTTAAAAAACAAAAATTTGGTTTAACTTAATTGATATCGAAGTAGATAATTTATTTTTTAATGTTTGGTAATGATGTTTATATGTAAAATGATAAAATAACTTAAAAGAAACTCATTATATAAGTCACTAAATTAAAAAAAAAAAAAACCTTATCAAAATCTTTTATAAAATCAATAATTATTTATAAAATCTTTCTATTCAAACATTTAATACTCATTGTTATAGACACAATAATCAATTCAAATCAACAATCACAAAACACCCTAGTCCCCCTCAAACATTTTGCATATAAAATAGTTAAAAAAGCTAATTATAGGTATCAAAATGCTTCTAGCCCAATTGTATAGATGTTAGTGGAGACAGGTGAATTTAAGGAATATATTAGATTTTTATTTTTATTTTTTTTAAAAAGAAAAGCTAATTTGTGAGTATTTCTGAATACTAAATTAGTAGTAACTAGATTATGACCCGCGTTTTACGCGGGGAACATATAAAAATGTACATATAAAGGTATAAAAAAAGTTTGCACTATAAAAAAAATAAAGTAACAGAAACAGACTTAGCATTATTGGTAACATTGAAATGTCTGGAAAAAAAACAATGAAACACCTGAATATCTATAATAGTTGAAGGATCTGTTTGTAGACATAACTTTTGTTTTATTAGTTGGATGACATTCCTCGTCATGTATGAGTAACTTCAATCCTTTTTCACTTGTGACGCTAGAAACAAAAAAACATATAACTAACAATGAGTGAAGACAAGCCTACGCAAGTATAATCCAACATTTGATAATTATTGTCATTGACTTTGGTTAATGGCCATAACAAAATAAACAACTATGGGGAATTTTCTCCGCTAAAAACGGAATGAAAGTTCTTTTATTAGACGGAGTTAACTTCTTCCCTTATAGGAGTTTATAAAACATTTTCTATTGTATGATGAATTTCTGAATTACGTTTTTGAGATATGTGAGGTTGCAAAGAATGGAACAACAAAGAAATAGAATTGATAGGTAATCGTAAAAGCAAGATAATAGAATAAGTAATTCCATTCCAGAAACATGTTTGTGAGGCATGGAATGGAACATAATGAAAATTTCACACGATTTTTATGTTATATATTGCAATTTAAATTATAAAGATAATCATTCACATATCTTTGTTTAGTTATCATTATGTAATTAAAAATGGTTTATATTGCAACTTTTATACTAATATCTTCTCTTATTGCTGAGAAAACCTTAATACTCATAATGTTCCCAACCCTATTTTCAAGAATGTATGTTGTACCCATTTATCCTTAAGAAAGTAAACTCAATAAGAATATTCAAACCAGTTAAACGAAAGAATAAGGTTGTGAAAGGCTCTTACTATGCTTCTCGGCATGCCCAGAAAACGCAAGTTAACCAAAAAAAAATCCTGCTAATTAACCAAAATTAATCAATCCCAAATATTTTCCAATAAGATTTATCGATGTAATCTATTTACATGGTATACTAAACTTTGTCTTTTCTTTGGTATTGAGTCTAAATTTTTTTTTTTATAATATTAAAAAAGGATAGGTGAATAACTTATTTCTGAGAGCCCAATTTGTATCTTTAAAAGATGTTTTTTTACAATAAATCAAAACACATATCACCACTCGGTTTTGCTAAGTTGTAGAGTATGTGGATCACTCACTGGTATAAGGGGTTAAATTCAATCTCCAAATCCAAGAAGTGATCGAATGGGTAAAACATTATAGATATTAACTCGAGTATATCTTCCATTCATGACCTGGTAAGCCACAAAAAATTATTGACTAAATGCATATACAAAAATGTAAAAATAAAAAAGAAAATCAATATATACAAATTCAATACCTAGTGGACATACCTTCCAAATCGAAACACTGCTGTGTCCATCCTTTTGCTCTCCAGATACCTATAACTTAAAAAAATCAAAATCAACAATACAAATTATAAGAACAAAAATTGAAGCAGATTCAGAAAATGTAACCATTATGGATTTAAACTTAAATCGAAAAGTTTTGTAGATTGGAACTTCGTAGTTGAAACAGAATAAAAGAAACATAATTTAAAACGTACCCAAAATCGATTTAAACTACCATCAATTTAAAGTAGAATCCAAAATTTTTTATCTCTATATCATTCATCATTCTTTCATGATAGATCGAATACAAGACTGATTTACACAGATCGAAGCCCACATATATTTTATTTCTTCTTTCCCCCATTTTCTTCCCCACTACAAAACTTAGGTTAGATAAATTATGTAAAGAAAAAAGGGAGATATGATAGGGGTACTGGTAATGAGGGATGGTGCGAGATATTTTTTTCATTTTATTTTTGGTTAGATTTAATTGTCATTAATAAAATTCCTAATTTAATTCATTTTATTTTTGGTGGGATTTAATTGTCATTAATACAATTACTAATTTAATTCATTGTATTTTTGGTAAGATTTAATTGTAATTAATAAACGTCCTAATTTAAAACGTAATATATGTTTTATAAAATTTGTGGACAAAAATAAAATGGTTAACAAAGATGATGTCAGCAAATAATCTAAAGATGAAAAATATAAAATTAAAATGCAATCAATGGTTCTGATTTTTTCAATTTAGAATTAAAGATTCTCGTCTAATAATATTTTGAGATAGGTGTAGCCCATATATCTCCAATTCTCCACAACTTGCCGCACGTTTTTTATTTTAAAAGCAACGAAAATAAAAAAATATATAATATATATAAATATATAAAGTAACAAAGATATGGAAGTGAAAGCTTTGAAACCATTGGCTTTTGCCTCCTGTTTTTAATCACCCCATGAAACCTGGGAGGCTGAGAAGCTGTTTCACTCTCTTGTCTGTGTGCTTGTCATCTCTATTTATATCCTGCTTCTAGTATTTCCATTTTTCATCAATCACTTAGTGCAACAAACATACTTCCGATTCAAACGAAACCAATTTCGTGTCATTAAACCATCTACAACATCATTTAACCATGAGTTTCAGAAGCAGAGCATGGATGGTGGCCGGAACTGTCGGAGTGGTGGAAGCCCTCAAAGATCAAGGCTTTGCACGATGGAACACCACCATATGGACCATCCACCGCCACGCTAAGTCCAATCTCCGATCAATCGCCCATGCCAAAATCTTGACTTCGCCGGCGGCTATGGCTTCTAGCAGAGACGTGGAAGAGAAGGCGAAGCAATCAGAAAAATCATTGAGAAAAGTAATGTACTTGAGCTGTTGGGGTCCTAATTAATCATTCATTTGGTATATGATGCGAGAAAGGTTATACATCGAGATTCTGGATCTAGATTCAAAGTGTCTGGAGATATTTCAAACAAACCAGTAGATGAAGGGTTTAGTCGGTGGAATTGCACAATAAAGAGCACCCACCACCATGAGATCGACGTACAAACTTGCGCTAAATTGGAGTCTGTCCACATCGCCATTTGATTGATGAGTTCGAGTTTGTATTAGTTAACATCAAAACTCTGATAGAAAGGTGGATAGAAATATATTGTTGAGAGATGCTTTTTATGTAAATACTTACCCTCTTTTCCACAGGTACAACAATACACCAGTTTATCAATTATCATATACCCAATAAATTCTTTCATATTTATAATATCTAAGATATGGGTACATACTCAATAGTCAATACGCATATGAAAGAAACAAACCTTCATCAGCTAGACCAATCCATTACCCATAATGTATTTAAGTAATGACAGAACCCAACACGAAAAATAATGCATGAATAAATTGCGAAATCAGAAATATTCGAAACAGATTTAAAGATTTGGACTATATTGAAGAAAAGGCTAAAACCGCATTATCAGCTACGTCGATATCAACCCACGTGTCTTGAAAGGGACAGGTGTATATTGGTGTGATTCTGTACCCTATAAAAAAATTACTAGGTATTCTAAGTGCCCCAATACATGAAATTCAAGAAACCTGTTGGCAGCTTATTGGTTGCCATCGATCATGACTCACCCACAGATTCATCATTCCAAGAAGGCCACATGAATGCACCTAGCTATGGTCATGTGCTGCTCCCTCAAAACCACCATATTTTAACCCCCAAACCACACTCCATCTCTATAAATAAATATCCCCTCTTTCATCATTCATTTCATCAGAAAATCGCAACACTACGATTCTACAACTCATAACCAAAATTCATAGTTAAAATGACTTCTGTAAACCGTGTATGGATGGCCGCCGGCGTAGCTGTTGCAAATGGACATACAGATCAAGGCTACAAACTTAAATCCCTCCTCATCAACTCCTTCCGACATGCCAAGAAGGCCTTCGCCTCCGATTTCCGTCCATTTTCCGGCCTTCTACGATCAAACGTCGGTGTCGGAGACTGGAAGACAACACAGTCTGATGAGTCTCTCCGACAAGTCATGTACCTCAACTGCTGGGGCCAAAGTTGAGGATTGGTTTGTGTACTGTGATTGGGAGGCTTTCTCGACGGATGAGCAATCGATGATGCGAGTTAACTCTTGGTTTTTGGATTTGGATTGAGTCGTAAAATAGATGATCATTTCCTAAGCGAGTTAAGTCCTGGTGTTGTAAATATCATTGGCTCTTGTTACCAAGACGATGTAAAAACAATTGAAGTAAATGTTACTTTTCTTATGGAACTTGGTATTGTTGTCCTTTGCTTGTTGATTTTTATAATTGAACAAATTAAACCAAATTCTAAAAGTTAACATTTGCTTGTTGATTTTTATGATTGAACAGATTAAACCAAATTCTAAAAGTTAACATTGTAACTAAATAAAAAGATATTAAAAAAAGTCAAATATTCTCATATTTAAGTATTTCAAGCTTCAACCTATCATTTTCTCTTACATTTTATTTTATTCATCTACCCAATGTTTTAAAAACCGGTTTTTTAGTTGAACCGGTCTGGTGACCGGTTCCCGGTTCAACCGGTTTAACCGGTTCGACCGCCGTGTGAACCGGTTTCAATATTTTTAACTTTTTTTTTTCTATTTTCCTACACATACATACATATATAAATCATGAATTTGATGTATACAAGTTCAAACATTAAAAATACACATAAAATAAATTGTAGATGAATGCAAATACACTAAAATAACACATAACTATAAGTTTTAGTGTTTTACATTAATCCATATACGTTAAAAAGAAAAATAAAGTATAATACTGAAACAAAATATAGTTTTAGATGAATATAAACACATAAAAAAACTTTATAACATTTGTCATATGTTTTTATTTAGAGAAAACTAAATAGATTTGAAAAAAAATCACCAAAGTTTATTATGTAAATGGTTCTTTTTCATTGTTTTTATTCGGTTTAACCGGTTCAACCGGTTTTTCTAAAAAAACCGGCCGGTTCAATCCGGTTCAGAAATCAATGATAACTGTAGCACCTGGTTCCTGGTATGTAAATTTATCTAAGTATTTTGCATTTTTAGCCTTGGACTCGGCGAGTTGTAGGCCCGACTCGCCGAGTAGAGCCGGGACATGGAACACGTTTAAGTTGGCGACTCGGCGAGTCCATATTCTGGACTCGGCGAGTCCCCGCTGTCTGGTGAAACCCTAATTCCAAGGGTTTGCACCCTATTTAAACCAACCTTATGCGCCCCAAGCTCGCCCCCATTCACCCTCAGAGCCCCCTATATCGTTCTAACATCGTTCCTTGTGAAATTGAAGTGCTTGGTGTGATTTCTTGAAGACTTTGAGAGAGAAATGAGAGTAGATCAAGAGGAGAGGAAGGAGGCCAGGCATCTTGGTGTTATTTCAGAGATTTCCTTGAGGTATAACTCAGTTTCCCTCTGTTCTCATGCTTATAGTCCCTTAGAGCTCCATTAAAGTCCTTCTTGAGCCATTTCCAAGCTTGGGTATGAACTAGGGTCTGTGATAAGCCGATCAACCTTTAGATCTAGGCATGATTGAGCTCTAGGAGCTCAGATCCACTGCCTTTATGAAGCCATATTGCATGAAAGCCCTAGATCTACTCTTTTAGTGCATTTTGAGCCCTAAAACCTTCATTGGTGTTTATTTACACGTAAAGTTGGAAACTTTACGTGTTAATCAAGCCCTAGGAACCTAGATCTACGTATGGAATGAGCTGGATCCAAGCAAAATCGAGTATATATTAGTGGCATGTGGCCGACTCGGCGAGTCGTTCATCGGACTCGGCGAGTCGAGTCGCGAGTCCTCGAGTTTTCCCCTTTTCGTGTTGCTGAGTGGAGTCGTGAGTCATGGGGGGGGGGGGGTGACTCAGTGAGTCGGAAGCCAGACTCACTCATGGAGGAACTCGGCGAGTCAATGCCCTGACTCGGCGAGCCTCAAGAACAGACTCGGCGAGTTGTTCATACAACTCGGCGAGTAGGATGAAGGACTAGTGGTCAGCGGTTTAGAAGGGAACTCGTCGAGTCAATGCCTAACTCGACGAGTAGAGACGAGATTATGGTCAATCGAGTGGATAAGGACTCGGCGAGTTGGCAAGCCAAGTCGGCGAGTCGGGTCAACTGGAAGTTGACTTTGATTTTGACTCTTGGTTTAGTTACGGGTAAATGGTCATTTTACCCTGAGGGCGGTTAGCAGTATTTGACTGAGTGTTTTTATGGGAATTATAGCCGGAGGATTTCCGGAGCAGCAGCAGCAGAAGTCAGTCAGTTCCCACACAGATTAGCAGCCACTTTGAGGTGAGTTACCTTCCAGTAGCGGTGGGTCTACGGCCACAATGCCGGCCCACCAGTAGGAGTTGCATGATAGATGATTGTCTCTGTGATATTCATCTAGGGTTGTTACTACCTGTGATATGTTTATGTGCTAAAATGACATGATGCTATGTACTAGTGACTGTAGGGGGAGATAGTCCCCAGATTACCGGCCAATAAGGTCAAAGGGGCGGTCGTGCCCAGCCATGCTAGATAGATTATGTGATAAATGTGTTATGTGGTAGTAGTAAGGGGGTGAAATAGTCCCCAGTACCCGGTCGAGAGGACCGAAGGGGAGACCAGCACCCAGATATGCTAGTCAGTACCCGGTCGAGAGGACCGAAGGGGAGGCCAGCTCCCAGATATGTTAGACAATACCCGGTCGAGAGGACCGAAGGGGAGACCAGCACCCAGATATGCTAGTCAGAACCCGATCGAGAGGACCGAAGGAGAGGCCAGCTCCCAGATATGCTAGACAGTATCCGGTCGGGAGGACCGAAGGGGTAGGTCGGGCACCCAGATATGCCGGACAATATATGTATGTTATGTAACTGTATGGCAGGTGGTATGATGGGGGAACTCACTAAGCTTTGTGCTTACAGTTTATAGTTTTGTTTTCAGGTACCTCTTCGTCGAAGGGGAAAGAGCTGGCGCGGTAGCGGCACATCATACACACACATTGATTTCCGCATCATGAGTTATTCTGGGATTTGTACTCTGACATTATTATGTTTTTATAAAATGGTTTCCGGACACGCGACATTTTTATGAAATGATATGATCAGTGAATGTTTTATTTCTAATGTTTGCTAAGTATATGTTTCAAAAATGAAATTTTTTTTGGCTCGTATTTTGGGATGTTACATGTTGGTATCAGAGCCCTGGTTTGAGGGATTCGGACACACCTTCGGGGGATGTCTGGACTCAAATCGAGGGATTAAAAGATTTTTATAAAGAAACGGTTTTCTAAAGACTGGGTAAAAGAGTTTCGAGAAAGAACGAGGTGTGTGATGTGCGCGACCGGCCGAGCTCAAGTAAGTTTTCCCCAAAGTACCCATACAAGTTTATGTTATGATTATCAGTTTCAGTTTCAGTAGAACAACATGCTAGAATAGGACTAAGGATCTAGGAATGATGCCTTATGTGCCTGCTTTATGTGTTCCAGCTTTATGAGAATTGCATGCTAGTACCGAGTAGACAGTAGTAGGATAGCCTGTTTAGGTTATGCCTGATAGTATGAGCTTAGCAGTGTATGCTAGTACAGATCAGTCGATATGATAGCCAGAGTAGTACATACTTGATTATGTGTACTCAATGTCCGAATGCTACTTGCTATGTGCTTTTAGGAGTTCTAGTTGTCTTTCACTAACTAGTAAACGAATATGTTAATATACATATTGCAAGGACTAAATAATTTCAGAGGGTTGGGTCTAGCCCTATTTCGCAGCTCTTGTTTGAGTCCAACCGTTGTAGGGTAGGATCCCTCATTCGAAGAATTATCTAGTCTGAGTAATATGTAATAGTATTAGCAAGCTAGTTAGGGGAAGAAAGCAGGGACTTCTTATGCAGCTGAGGGCGGAGAGTGGGTTGGCGACTTCCTAGGGCGAGCCTAGGATGAGATTAGCATGAGATCAACAGTAGTAGTAGGGACTTGGTGGAGTCGAGGCAGTTCTTGAGGAAAGTACGGATAGATGTGGAAGGTAGTATGGGCCCGTACTACTGAAAGCAGAGGATCCGTACTTGAATTAAGGGAGGCTGAGGCGAGACCAGGAACCTTGCAGTAGACGTGATCCCTTTAGATGTATCAGTACCACTGACAGTTGTCGTTATGTATTGCAGAATGGTGGTACTACGCTCGAGGCCATCAGTTGGCAGTTCAGGAGAGGGATCGGGTTCGGGATCAGGTTCCGACCCAATAGACGAGAGGCTACGCGAGTTCATCGCGTCAGAGATCACCAGAGGCATCCTTGATTCGACTCCCATTATCTTCGGGTCGATCAAGGAAGGGATAGTGGAGTTGATGGAGGATCGCCTCAGGGCATTCAGGAGCGACATGGCATCTGGCCAGTCAGGATCTCGCACACTGTCCTTCAAGGACTTCCGGGGCAGTGGTGCGCCGGATTTTCACGGGGCGAAGGACCCCATAGCTGCCAGGAGATGGATTGCAGACATTGAGTCTGCACAGTTGACTAGCTTCTGCCCCGAGGGGTCGAAGGTGAGATTTGCAGCAGAATGTTTGAGAGATCGAGCTAGGGATTGGTGGGAATCCGTTGGTGACTCGTTGGGAGCCTCGGCTGTCGAGGCTATGACCTGGTCGGACTTCGTGACCAGGTTCAGGGCAGAGTTTGCGCCGGCTGTCGAGCTTCAGCAGCTGGCCAGGGAGTTCCTAGATATGAGACAGACGACGGAGACTGTGGCGGAGATCACCGCCAAGTTCCGGGAGAGAGCGTTACTGGTGCCCCAGTACGCGGGTGATGAGGATATGAGGAGGACCCGCTATCATGACATGCTACGAGCTGACATTCGGGAGCATGTCAGTTTTTCAGCTTGCCCTACCCTGGACTCTATGGTTGCTAGGGAAAGGGAGAGGGAGATAGACCTGGAGCACATTCGGAAGAGAAAGGCGGAAGAGGGGCATGTTATGGGGGCTTCGGGGAAGAAGCCCAAGGGACCAGATGCGGGGCCGAAAGGCCAACAGGGACGGGGCCGCTGCAGGAAATGCGGCAAGACGCACGAGGGAGCGTGCAAGTTGGGATCGTCAGGCTGCTACAAGTGCGGCAAGTTAGGGCACTTCAGCAGGGATTGTACCGCCCCTGCACCTGT